GAGAACCCTCCCCAGAGCTCACAGAGAACCCTCCCCAGAGCTCACGGAGAACCCTCCCCAGAGCTCACAGAGAGAACCCTCCCCAGAGCTCACAGAGAACCCTCCCCAGAGCTCACAGAGAACCCTCCCCAGGACTCATAGAGAACCCTCCCCAGAACTCACAGAGAACCCTCCCCAGAGCTCACAGAGAACCCTCCCCAGAGCTCACAGAGAGAATCCTCCCCAGAGCTCACAGAGAGAACCCTCCCCAGAGTCAGCCTCCCGAGTTCAGACGGCCAGCCTCCTGCACTGTGAGAAAATGAGTTGCTCTTGTTGATGCCACCTAGTTGTGGCATTCTCTTATGACCCTCTCCCAGGGTTCCTGTTGGCTATGTGAGTCACCAGGTTATTGGTGGCGGGGCCAGGGGACATGGCTGGTCTGAGCCCTGTACCCTCCAGGGTGGCAGTCTGCCCCTTCTCTTTTCTGTTCAAACTGTAAGAAACCACCCCAAAAATCTGAGCAAGGGAGTGTGACAGTTGACAGGAGTTTTCTTAATAAGAAATTCTTCATTTTGCCAGACTACAGGATGTTTACTAACATCCCCCACCCTGTAAGCTGTTGTAAAGTTGTAAGAGTGGAAGAAAGAGAAGGGGGGTGGGGGAAAGCAACTGGTAAATATTTATTTCCTTTTGCACTTGTAAACATTAAAATTCATCTAAAGCTGAGATCTCGTATGTTCAGATACAACTTAGAATAAATTTTCATGTGTTGAATCACATTCATCCCTAAACCTGTGGGGGCTAATATTTTGGAGTGTGGGTTCCCTGAGGGGCTTGTTCAGTTTAGGCACAGCTCTGGGTAATGGTACAGCCTAACCTTCTGTAGGAGGAAGGGGAGGACATGCCAGGCCCTTGTGATTCCGACGTGCACAGGGGCCGTCCTGAGAAGTCAGTGTGGGGAAGTTGGGTCTCTCGCATACGAAGGCCTCGCATTCTTGGGCAGGGCCCTCTGTATGTACCAGGCACTGAACTGGACTGGGAAGAGCACGTCGAGCCCAACCGGCATCTGTTCTGTTGGGTTCTAGTGAGGGAGCCTGCGACGCTTTCAGTGAAGAAACCAAATGCGTAACTTTAAAAAGTGTGAAGGGCCAGGCTGGGG